GGGGGGGGAAACAAGAGTTACAGAGCCAAGAAAATAGTAGCGGATGGCTGAATTAACTAGAGAGAAAAAGCCCAGGATATATAAAACATGGACACTGAAAAATAAAATAAGGGAGGGGGGATGGTACAGCAAGTAAAACATGGCAAAATTTACATATGGATGAAAAGTAAAATTGGAAATAAAAAATAAATCATGCCAAAAAGCAGTTCAAGGCAGAACCACACTGAAACAAACATTTGCTTATGGTCTTCATGTACTATAGATAATATATCAGAATTTCTTTTTTTTTTAATCAACCATTAGACTTTTTTTTTGCACTCCTAAAATTCTACTTTGTCTTGTATACAGATTCCAATAAGAACACTGCACAATTAGCACAAGGGGTCCACGGAAAATTGTCCTTGCTTGCCAGCGATCCTGCCCACAACACAAAAAAAGAGGAAAAAAAAAGGAAAAAAAAATAAGGAAAGGGTCTGCCGCATGGTACTGTGCCAGTTCCATCTGCTTTTGCCAGCTTGAAAAGTAGGAAACCAAAATTCCCTTCCAGGAGCGTGTGTCTCTCTCTTTCCTTGATGAACTGTCCCTTGTGTTTGTACAAAAAAATTCAGTCTCTCTTTATTTTTTTTTTGTTAAACACAAGCATCCTTCTTCCTGTTCACATGCCACTTCCATTCTGTCTCCATAGTTGCGAGTTGGTTGTTTTTGGGTTGTTTTTTTTTTTTTTTTAAACCTCCCTCCCCCCAACATCCACTAAGACCTGCCTCCAAGTTCTTGCATAGTTGAAGTATATATGCCGTACTTAGCTTTCTGAGCGTGAATTTCTGACTGTGACAAGAGTATGAGTTGTAACCATGTTAACAAATAACCAGAGTGGTTCTAGAAACCATTTTTATAAAGTCTACCTATGTTAAGAATTTAATATTGGTGTACATTTATATTAACAGAATATTTACAGTTTGTTTTCTTTGTTTTTTTTTTTTGTTTAAAACAAGAAGTCAAAAAAAATTCCTCTTAAATTTCTGCATAATATAATAAGGCAAAAACCAAACAGTTTTGTACATTATTATTATTATTAATATTTTAATATATATCTGTAACTTCGGTTCCAAAGTACCAAGGTAAGTGATCAATTGGCCTCAGAAGGGAACCTCACAGTGGACTGTAAAACTACAGTATTTCCATAAATAATACTTTTAAGAAACCCTGGGTATTTCTTTCTTAAGGATCTGAGGCCTTTAAAATGCAAATTTAACTAAAAACAAAAGCAAAATTTCTTCTTTTTTTAAGTGAATAAAGAGCACAAAATTAAAAAAAATACAAATCCATTAAAAATGTTTCTCACATTTGGGAAAAAATGTACAAACTTGATATTTTTAACTCATTTTTGTTTTAGCACAGAAACAAAAAAACAAAAAGAAAAATCAATACCTATATATTAAATTCCCATTCTCAGCAACCTTCTTGTTGGAAAGTCTGCATCCCCGACCCCGTTATTTATGGAAATGTGCTTAACTTCTACAAATTTTACATTAAAAAAAAAAAGTTTACAGCAGTGCATTTTGTAAAAGGTTTGTTTTTTGTTTTGTTTTGTTTTGTTTTTTTCCTGTTTGTTTTTTTTGTTTGTTTGTTTTATATACAGGCAAGTTTAAAATTCAATATTGGGGACTATCGTGCCTCTACTTCTTTGGGGTTCCTAGAGGGGGAATAGTCCCTGGACTCTGAGTTTGTGAGTGGAGTAGTCCTGCGTGGGGAGGCAGGTCTGGTGCTGCTCGCTGGTACAAGAGGCGGTGGGGCGCTCAGCGCTGCGGTTGGCGGGTTCCTGTTTAAAATCCCATTGTGCATGGCAGTGGATGGACTCAGTCTGGGGTAATGCATCCCGCTTAGATGAGGCATGAAGGATGGCACGTGTGCCAGGTGACTTTCGATGGGGGACGAGTGCAAGTGGTGCATTCTCGCACGCTCAAGTTCCTCCCGTAAGTGCAAGCGCTCTCTTTCCTCCACTTGCCGCAACCGCTCCTGCTCTCGGCGGGCTTCAAGAAGGTTTTCATGGTTATAGTCGTGCGGCTCCCTGTCTCTGTAAGAACGCTCATGGTCGTAAAATCCAGACGTGGTAGGGAACCTATGGATAGGATCCGTCCGGAGCTGGAAGTCCATTCGACGGTGTAGGTCTAAGCTCCGGTAGGCATCTCGCAATGGGTCCCTCATCGGGTCCCAAGAAAACCCAGGGTGTGGCAGCCTCTCTCTTCCCGACAAAGGATTCATGCCTATGAGCGGGGTCATCATTCTGCTGCGGTCCAGAACATTCATGTTGTTCATCTGGTGCACACTGCCCATGGAGATGGGCATAGAGGCAGCCATCGAGTGAGGCAATGATAATCCATGCAAAGTAGGCGGTGGGGGATGCTCCACTGACCGGGAGTGCTGTGAAGGCTCAGACCCTACCACCAGCACATCGCTGTCTTCCTTCCTCTCCTCTTTGACTTTGATGTCATTCTTAATCTTCTGGAGGTCGCTGGGAAGCTCTGTCTTTCTCTCCATGTCCTTGCTCATTAGATTGGTAAGCTTCAAGCTCTCACTTAGTGCAGGTTTGCTGTATGGGGATACAGACTGGATTACTGGCTTTGTGTTGTCCTCAGAGGGTCTCTTATTATCATGGCTTGGAGTTTCCTTCACTGGGGAACGGCTCTCCTTAATCTTGTGTTCTGCAATGGGTGGCTCTCTCAGACGGTCCGGGTGCTCTCGCTCGGGTTCTTTGGACCTTTCCCTTTCACCGAGGCTAACCTGCCGGATGGCATCACTGGAGGTTTGGCTGTTGCTGCGGATGAGATTGCTTATCTGATGTGTCACTGGAGCTGATGCCGGTGAGGATCTGTTTGAATGTCTGTTTTTATCCATGAGGTCTCTGTAAAAAGAGAGAACATACGTCCTTGGGTTTGTGAGCAAACACACGTGATGCTGGACACACATAGTGCTGTGTCTAGTTGTGTAATTTGAAATTGCTCAGAAAATGATTTGAAAAGCTCTGCTAGCATCAGCTATAGCTGTGATGCTACACTAAAAGATACGCACTACTTGCCTTCACATAGAAAAAAAAGGCTAAATGTCCACAAATTTGGGGACTAAACCGGGGATGCATTTGAAAGAACAGTATAGTCACCCTAAAAGAAAGACCACTTCACTGAGAAATGTAGGGGAAGAAGAGTTATAGACAGCTTTTTTTTAAAAAAAAGATGCTTACTGTGTGTTCATATATACATCTTGCTGCCAGACAACGATCTTCTTGGCTGTAACACTCTTAACTCAGGTTCTTTTCCTAAAAAACATGGGTCCAGGCACACAAAACAGCAGCCTACACACATGTATGCAGGTCCTTCACACGACAGCCTCATCGACTGGAAGCAGCCGTAATATGATGCTTATTTTCCTACGGAGCGGCAGGAGAGTTTTTGTTGTTGGCAGTTTTGGCAGGTAAGCGAAGTGCTTAAGGGAAAAACACCCTCGAATAGGCCATGAAACTGAGCAATCAACCCCTGTTTCAAGAGGACCTGCTATGATGAACGAGGGGTTTGATGACAATGTCCACGGTTTAGAACGAGAGGCATGAGGGTTTCCATTTCTAACTGCACCTCTATCCCTGAGCAAGCCAATTAGTCAGTTACTTCCACCTCTTTAAGAGGGGAATAAATAATGCTCACCTTTTAAAAGCACTTCGCTCTAAATGAGAGAGACTTTAAATGCAAAGTATGATGGTGTGATTGAGAGAACTGCATTATGCAGCTGAGAGGCTCACTGATGCCTATGTTTTGTGCCAGGTTTGCTTTTGAGAGCTGTAAGACCTGAGTGCTGAAAGCTGGAGGTGATTTGGGGAGTTCTGTAAGTATTTATCCCTTATGATTACATTTGCTAACCCAGATTTCTCCCTCTGCAGTAGTCCTGATTGCTGGTCAAGGATGTGGTTTATTAAAACCACGTCCAAACAGGGATGTTGGGGACAGCTCAAGCTGAATTAATAGAAATGTAATAGAGGCGTTAATTCCTGTGTGAACACTCTTGAGAGTAAACTAACCATGGTTTGCAATGAATTACACTAACGCCAAGAAGGGAGCGTCCTACCTGAATGACTATCCACGCAAGGCTGTCAGGCCATTTAACATTTAAAGCAAGATGATTTTCAGCCTATTGCTTCCATATAATCTCGTTCACAGGCACTGCCTGAAGATCTCATTAGAAGCACTCCAGTCAAACTCTGAACCCCCTATCACGAGTCAAACGCACACATCTAAGACTTGCAGGCTGTTATTGCCTACAAAGCAGTAGCCTGCTGGAGACAACCGGGCTCTGAAATATAAAGGGCTTTACAGCTTCAAAATCATGTAACTGGAAGCTCACGAAGTATCTACAGCCCAGGTGACACAGTCCTGTCATCGGTAATACGGGCTTGTCTACAATGCAATTTTTTACAAGCAGTTTTGCTAACGCATTCATGCACTGCTCCAGACAGAGGCATTTGCATTTTTATCTTGTTAATGTCCAGCTAACATTTGAATTCATCAGCGTACCTGTACATTAATGAGAGCTATGACTGTCTCCAAAGGACCCATCACGCTACCTTCGTGATTTCAGAACATACAGCAATCCTAAAGCAGCTGCATTGAAAACAGCCAAGTATACCCTGAAAACACAGCGACACGCTCACTCCCTCAGCCTGCTGCGTTTTATTAACCTGCTAGCGGGGACTGGCTTACCGTGTTTCCACAGAGGACAAATCCTAAAAGGCAAAGACGGGTTTTTTTGTGTGGCTAGTACTCGTGCTTGTTTGAGGGAAAGGCCTATCAGCTGCTTCAAAGACAAGCAATGTTTTGCTCTGAAGATTATTTTATGATTGTAAAAAATAGAAAAAAATATAGAGGAAAAATAAGCCCAGAAGAAAGTGCTCAAAAGCACACGCTGCTTACCTCTCTTTGTCTCTGTCGTCTTTACTCAGAGAAAGATCCCTCTTCTCGGGCTCTCGCTCCCGCTCTCTGTCTCTGTCATGGTTTGTCACCGAGGAGCTTCGCTCAGAATCGGTAGGCTTGGGCCACTGTGGAGGTGTTGGGAAGGACGGTGGGGTCCGATGGAGTCTATTCCATGGCTCATGTGGATTATTGAAATTCTGCAGGTTTGGGCCATCTTTGTGAGTAAAAATGTTGTTGTGAGCTAGAATAACGGCAGGGGGAGGAAGAGTTAAAAATAATACAAACCAAGTGATTACATTTACATTTTGCACAATGCTAATCACAACCAGAACTGTCCTTTTGAGACCTTTTAATGTGGAGCTAATGGTGAGGGGGAGCTACTAGCAGGTGGACAGAGATACCTCCAACACTGGGTGTAAGATCCACCAGCTCTTTTAAGGCTATTGGTGGAGGAAGCTTTAACTACACATCTGAATAACTCAGAGATGACTGAAAACACCCAGCTCCTCTTCTCCCCCCACCCCAGTAAGGGTTCCAGCACAAAAGCAGTATTTTTCCTCAGCTCCTCTCACTGGCAGAAACTTTAATCTGTGGGTAGTTACAAGCAATCAGCTGCCTGCAGCTGAGGATTCAGGGACTTCTTTGTTAAAGAAACCAGACTTTGGTGGTATGTGTGTGTGTGTGTATAAAAATAGAGCTTGGCTGTAGGCTTTTCAGAACAGTCACTTGATTTTCCTCCATCAATCTTCAGCTGATTCCTGTTGCACCATGAGATGCAAAAGCATGCTCTCTTGTGTGTGGCTCTCAAGCGTGTCTTGCCTACAGGTAACACGTTTTTGAAGTAAAACGATTTTATACAGGTAATTTAAACTTCAGACAACAGTTACAGAGGAAGCCTACACGCTGAATTAGGGTCAGTATCAACAGCTGTTCCACTATGCATCTTCGCCGTTGAAGGGTGTTACTTTAGATGCCCATAGGGTCCCAGAGCTCCCTGGGGTCTTGCAGCTCTAGCACCTCTAGGAGCACACAAGGTACCAACCTTCAGCAGTGAGGAGACACAGAGCTCAGCTAATGATGTCTGTGACATGCAGAAAAGCTCCCACCGCAGAGACCTGGAAATCTTAGGTGCAGTGTTTTCAGATAGGAGAATGGAGGTTAGGAATTAAACTTCTTTAAAAACTACCACCAGCTGCTGTAAATATTAGCATGTGGCTTTTCTGGAAGGGATGTTTGTCTGCAGTAACCCAGCCAGTACTTACTCAGAGCATGACTGCCTAATCCTCCAAAGGCATTGCTGCCTAAGTTCCCAAGGCCGCTGAAGGTGCTTGACCTGCTAAATGGATCTGGAAAGGCAAACAGGGATTTAGCAGGCATTTAGCCAAGAATGTTGGAGAATGAAACGCACCCCTCCCCTTCTTAACGGTCTGAATCCAAGTAGGATTAGGCCAGACTTTAAGCTGATCCTTCTCATTGCAAGGTTCTTTGCACAGAAAATTCCCATCACGTTAAAATGGAGAAGGGATTCAGTGCTCACTCTGCAAACAGATGCTGTAATAAACTTTTGTATGCCAGTCAGAGGGGAGCTAGAAATTAAGGTCTAATAGCTGAAATTCGGGTGGCTACCGCTGAGCTATAACTCTCCTTCCTTATCAGTACTAACAGCAGAAGCACTGCAATTGCTTTTAAAGAACCTCAGCAGGCTCCTTGGTCAGCATATTGAGGGGAGGCATCATTTCACTCTTGTTTCTGTATGCAACTTTCTACCCTCTTTGTAATAGTGCACAGAGACAGTCCTCAGCTAATTGCTACGGACATCCATCCTTACACCAACCTAACATGTGAGCCTGTTTGTGCCAAAATCCTCTCCTAGAATAGCTTCCTTGATCCCAGTGGTGGTGGAAATGATAGTGCAGCCTTAGGAGCTACTAAGACAAGGGGATGGGAGGCTTGTATGCTCTCAGGCAAAGAAGACTCTTGCCTTTCCCAGTCAAGCATCCAACTATTTGGCTACTGGCACTTGTCTTTACAGAAAGTCCTGTCTTTTTGTGTCGTTAAAGGCAACCATCATTGGAAGAGGTTTCTCTCTGAGCAGATACAGCCCGACGCAGGTTTCTGCACTCCAGAAATGGCTGTGTGTTAAATCGTGCCACTGTACTTGTTTTCATTCCTACTGGTCATCTCTAAAGAACCCTTCTGCCCACTGTCTTTTTGACTGTCCCTTTAAAGTCTTTAACTTGCCATGTTACAGAAGGTGTGTTGCTCTCTACTTCCTCACGGATATCCTCATACTTAAAATATCAAGGCAAATAGCACAAATAGCTTGGACCTTTAAGCAAACCACTATTTGCTTATTCACTTATTTTTAAACAGCTGTTCTTGCCCTTCCCCTTTGATATTTAGTAGTTGAGTGACTCTGTAGAGATACAGTTAATTTTGACAGAATGTTCAGGAATTGATGTAAATCTGGGTATTTGCAACAGAATAAAAGTCTACCAGGTCATGTGGCATGCCACATTTACTGATTGGATGAGTGTTACTAAAACATTAATCAACAGAGCTTGAACTTTAATTGGCAATGAGCTGCTTGTGAGCTTCTAAAATGAGGAAATTTGAGAAAATCAGGCTCTACTTATTGCCAATTAGGAAACTGAAAGGCTGGCAAAATGTGCAGAACAGCTATTTGCCAGGAACTGTTCGCTGAACTTTATCGAAGAACCTAGCCAAGAAGTTTCATAGGTGGGAAACAGTGTGGGAGGAGCCCATTTTAAGCTGGGGCTTGTTTGAGGTACCGTTGCACAGATTTCCCCCATTTTCTTGGGCACACTCAGCAGCACAGAAGGGGTCTAGGTCACACTTCAGCTCCTGGGCAGTGTCCCAGCAGTGACAGACCTGCTTGCTCTGCAACGCCCTCTTCTATTGCAGGAGGGAAGGTGCTGGGAAGCTGGCATGGGTGAGAAGCCAGCTCACCTCTGGCTCCTGAGGCAGTTTAAGCCTCTCCCTCCCCTAGTGCTACAGTGCCTTAAGGCAGGACCAACCGGCGAGCCAGGAATGGGTCAGAGGTATAAAGGTGAAGGCAGGGTTTACTTACACTTACCTGCCAAGTGGTTAGTAGGCAGGAAACTGCTGTGGTGAGGTGAAGGGCCAAAAGGGGTGGTGGCTGGATGTGTCGCACCTGTGAGAACAAGGCCCCGGTTTAGTTCAGTGGCCAGTGGCTGCCTGCACACGCAGAGGTCCAGGCCATCGCACTCGAGAACCAGACGCGAAGGCACGGGCCAGATTTAAACCCAGCAAAGGCAGGACAAGACCCCAAAGACCAGCTGAGCGAGCTACAGGCAGGATTTCTCTGAGTGGCCTTTGAAGGAGCCTGTGGGCACTAGGAGGCAGGAGGAGACCTTGCACTGAGCACTGCTGCCCACCTGTAGTAATGAGGAAGTTAATCTCTTTGTCTGGTGTTTTCAGCCATTACTCTGTGTTTACATTAAAACAGGTCAGGCCGGGTTATGGGCCCAGACAGAAGGTGCTCGGAAGTGACTGATATGAAACACCAGTTAATGACAGGCACGCAGGGAACATCAATCATGCCTCTCCCATGAGGGCTCCATCTCTGCTCTCACATCTGTCTCTCCACCCACAGGCTCCCCCCGCGGTATTTGTTTCCCTTTCCTAGACACTGCTTATTGCCACGGTGCCACGCTACCCCATGGGGAAGGAGCACCGCTGCTGAGCATGCTGGATTACATGAGGCTGAGGCAAGGAGCAAGAATGGGCTGAAACAAGCTGGTCTGCCCTGTGTTTCAAGGTGGACTAGGCTCATGCAGAAAATTCTGCTCCTCTTTCAGAGCAGAAAATGGGAGACGTGCTTCCTTCGCAGGCAGACACATGCGAACCTGAATGGGCTGGCAACTGCAGTGTGAAAAGCCCTGGTGTCACCCACCACTGGGATGCATGGTTTTCAGAGGAACATATATTGCCATGTATCCTGCCAATGACAGTATGTTTGGGCAATCTCATGGGCCTGGCTTTCGCCCCCTAAGATTAGTACAGTTGACTTTCAGGATGCACCTGAAATCACTTTCTGAATATTTATATTTCAGATGTGTGTGACAAAATACTCCTGTGGCTCCAGTATTACAGTGGTAAGACCAGCCCTTTCCAACTGTTCAGACTGTAAATGTCCTTTTGGTGCCTCCTCCCTGCCACTACTTCCACTACTGCAGACAAAGCAGAATTAGCAACTATCATAACTTTCAGATGCTGCCCGGATGCAAACCCAACTTCTGCCTCCCTTGCAGAAAGCAAGACTTGTCATACCTGTGCATTAACTGTCTCATTTTGTTAGAAACCAGTAATTCCACACAGTGACAGAAGCAGCACTTTCCCAAGTACATGTTAAGTCATGCGCAAAATAGGCCAACACCTAAATAAAGCTTGCGTATTTTGTTGGTAAAAAGTTAACTTCCCTCAACACCGGGAAGAGTAACGGGTCAACTCTAGCAAACACCAGTAGCCACACTGGGCAGGAACATGGGCTCTTCACTAACAGCTCACTTACCCAGTCACTGCTTTCTCAAGTGATAACTTTCTTTTATAGAAAAGAGGATTATGATCCTTCTCCTCCCACCTGGCGCTCTAGCTCTCCTGTCACCTTCACCACAAAGACTTCTGCCTCGTCTGTGGCCCGTATGAATGATTCCCACCAGTGTCAGACCCGCTCTGCTAAGTTCCTGCCCCTCATCTCTAAGCCACATCAAATGCATGTTTCCACCATATGTCATCAGTGCTGATAACACTATGGAAGGTCACAGCAAAAGTGGGGGGAAATGGAGGGAAGAAATTAACAGGCACAGGAGAAATTGCATCCCAAACACAGCCCTAACAGTGTTTTATGGAGGTGCTGGTCAGTCCCTGACCTGGTCTTCCTTGGTGACAGAGCCCAACAACAGACGGTTATTGTAAAACGCATTCATGTGTCCAGAACACGAGCAGACTATAAAACTGGAGAGGGAGACAGCGCTGCATGTCCCTCACCAGCTTGGGCACCACAAACCTAAGCAGCCAGAAAATGAGTTGAGGAAACTTAAGAAACACCACAGCAACGAGACCTGAAGTTATCTATAAACATTCTGACTGCTCCAACGCTTCAAGACGGATGGAGACTGTCATCTTTCTAATCCTTTAAGATTTCAGAAGGTGTATAATGGATGTGAGATTTCTTCAAAGGAGACGGCTTACAAACTCAACTACACGGGCTGATAATAAAAAATCCTCTGGAGAAAGCCAGGAGTGGCACTGGAGGCTGTCAGGTAGTTATTAAATATAGTGTCTGCCAGGCAGCTGAACATCCGTCCTGAAGACAGGTGGCCCTAAGATAACTTATGTCTCCCACAGTAACGAGGCAATGCAGCAGAACCAATGATTCACATCAACTGCATGGTTGTTTGATAAGGTGAAAAGAATGCCTCGGATATTGCAGAGTAAAAGATTTATTCATCTATATATTACTGCTGCTATGTTTGTTCACTTTGATAGCACTCTTTACCTAGATTTACCATGTGATGGCTCTTGTGATTAATATACTCACAGACAAGATGCTGTAAGGTTGTTTATCTCTGGTGAAAGTTTTCTATTAATTTGCCTTCTTTAATGTATCTATTCCATACTACTTCCCCTTTTGCTTTTATGAATGGAGAAGCAACACCACCCTTGCATCTTTAAGAGAAAAGACTCAGGATACCAGCTGCCTGTTAGGGTAAACTCTGCCCAATACAGCCTTCAGTAGCAAAACCATACATAAAACAAGATTCTTGTAGCAACAACACAGGCCAGACTGAAGACAGTGATAAGGAAACAGCTGCCATAGGAAAAGACTCAGAGGTTTGTAAATCAGCTGTGCTGATGCACCCAAGCAGATGCACTAAGTATCGTGGCCCCGCACAATCAAAGTATCTTCACAGAGACCAAAATACAGAGTAGAATCCTCCAGTGTACAGCCAGTATCAGCACTGATTATATGTGGTGGAAACACGCATTTGATGGCTAAGAATTTCCATACACAGATAAGGGCAGAAAGACAAACTGAACCACTGGTGGAGTTCTGAAGGCTCTCTGACATCTGCATTTGAAACTCAGTTCTCACGGAGGTTTCAGCTTGATTCTCCTCTGTTGCTTTTCTGTCACGTTTGGGACAAAATTTAACACTTCTACCCTCACTCATTTCAGCAGGGTTGAACCAAGGTTGAGCATGACCATGTCTGCACTGAGTTAGAATGAGAGCACAGTACTGCATCATAAAACCAGAGTGAAGTTAGGAAAGAAAATTAGTTGCCAATTAATAACATACAAAGGAAGACTTTGACATCTTAAACACAGAAAGAAAATCTGAAAAAGTCTAGGAGAAAAGTTAAGCCCTGGGAAGAGAACAAAACCAACATTTCGTAGGTGGAAATCAGCAAGAATAGCACTAGTGACCTCCAAAACCAGAATGTCAAAGTTGCAGTCTCCTGTGGCCAGAGCCATCAAGAACAGTGCAGTGAAGCTTACTGCATTTTGGTAATTGCATTAACTGTAATTACTTCTCCAACAGATTGGAAAGCAATTGATCAATTCAAACTGTATTTAACTATTTTTATTTATTTATTTATTATTTAATACATCATTTTAAGCCTTAGAGATTGCTGGACTTCATGACACATAGGGGAATTTTATTTTTCAAAACAAACTTCTGTGATATATTCCATGCTGTTATTGAAGTCTTTTTTGTACAAAACCCCCTTGTTTTCAGAAAACAAACTGAAAGTTGGTGAGTGGAGGAAGAGAAAAACAACACGGCAAATATAAAAGCAAGAAAGAGACTGAGGCCACTTCCAATCCTGTGCAATGGAAACATTTTCAAGTGTTTTGTCAAAATAGCTTTTAAAAAACTCTATAGCCTATTAATCAGGCACAGAAGAACCAGCTGCAGAGCCATGAATTTAAGAGCCAACTGCTGCAGCTCAGTGACATGCACAGGAGATTCTGCACTGGAGGTGGTGGCAGAGACCAGCCCAGCAGCTCTGAGAACCTCGCTCACAGCAGTCTCCAGTGCCTCCGCATCCCTATGAACCTTCAGTTTTTGAGGCACACACAGCTGCAGGGAAACACATTGCATATACTGACTGTTCGGGTTTTTTTTGGCAACAAATTATGATCTTCCCTTACCTGTGGTAGAAAACAGAGGCCTGGCAAGATCCTGTGGATAATGGAAGCCTGGAAACACTCCAGGGGCGGGAGGTCTGCTGAACAGGTCAAGTTTACCACCTATCTCTAGCTTGTGGGGATCCAGCTGCATTTGCTGTCAAATGATATAAAAACAATCTCATTATACACTCCCTTTTTTACGGGAGAAAAAGAGAGGGAGTTCAGGCTCACTTCTGCTTAGCTCTGCCAGGGAGAGTTAGCGAGAGTGACAGCAGCGTCTCTGGTCACGTACTGCAGTCATGCTCTGACAGAGTCTGTAAGGCCATTTCGCTCCACAGCCTCCCAGCTGCCTGCCTCATCCACATGGATAAGGTCTGAAGTGAGCTTTCAGCCCCTCAGCACACACAGTGGAGCATGCAACGTGATACACTGAGTGCGCTGCACCCCAGGATCAGTCGGTGCTCTCAGCCTGACAAAAAATACTCTGCAGGCGGAAAGCTGCCGACAGAAGTCTTGAGAGCTGGGTGACAGACTCGTCTGTTTTGCTTCTCCAGTTTGGAAAGAGAGAGATGTTCCTAGACTATGCCCTTCCTGCAGCTAGTACAGGTCAGTATGCAGACAAGGGGCAAAAGATAGAGAGAACTATGAGGCTCCTCCAGAGGCTATTTTTATCCTTCCCCTATAGAAGTGAGCATGGTTGGAACTGCACCTAAGTCACGTATATTAACATACAGACCTAAGTCTCTCAGTAGCTTAAAGATGATATACTTGCTTATAAAAAAAACGGACACAGACCACTTGAAGAGGTACTATTTACAGTGCACCTACTGAAGTACTGAATTGTCTTCATTAATAGGACAAAAAACTACAGCAGGAGCTATGAAAAAATAAAACGCTACAAAAGTCCCATTATCAGCTATTCTGCCAGCCGCAGGGAGCTTCGGGCCTGTAACAGCACCCCGGTGTACCTACAAATTGTTACCTCTGGAGTTATAAACCCCCTCCCTCTGTCCATTGTCATGGCAGCGCAGAAAGCCCAACAACCACTAACATGGTGATGATCAACCTACTCGCCTGCTCTATGTTTTGTAATATGTTCTTCACTGTATCAGTCATTTCGTTATGACTGGGATAATACTCCATATTCCACAGGAGGTACTAGTACAGAAGGGAAATGGCATTAAACACATATGCTTTGTAAAAAAAGATGAATTTGGGGCAAAAATACACCACCTCCCCCCTCCCCTTCTTCTTCTCTTTCTGGCTGTACACTTATTATCTCTTGCGCACTTTGCTACCCTTCAACCTAACTCCTTTGCCTTCAGATAAACTTTAACAATAAATGTTAAAGGATTGAAAGTGTTAGTTAATCAATATGGGCAAGCTTGAGAATCACCAACAGTAACTGCTTCCTGCTCATTACTCATTAAAATATAATCTGTAAGTCAGAAGACTTGGCTTTGTTCCAGAAAATGTCTGAATTACCTTTATCTTTTGCTGGTGATGGTAGATCTGCCAGGCGATCTGTACATGAACTGCACACCACTTCCCGGGTTTCTGCAATGGAAAGCACAAGAATTTAGATTAATTTATACGTTAGCAATCTACATCAGATAGAACGTTTCATTTCCCTTACTGTCAAACAGGCAGCTAAGCAATGAGAAAGGCTGATTACTAAAACGGCACAATAGGTGATCAACATTTTTTTCTGTACTGCAGCAGATGATGTTTAAATCAAGAAGGAAGCGAACAGGAACATTGTGGGATGTGGGATATCTTCCTCATCTCATGGAGACCTGAGATCCCTGCCTTGTTCTTTCCTACTTGCACTCCCCCCTTCATACCCTGAAATAAATGGCAGAAAAGAACAGCATGCCATGCTTAAGAGAAAGCAGCTAATAGTTAACAGCTCTGTTTCTGAAAAGAGCCCTGTTCATTCATCCCTGCTGCTCTGCTGGCTAAGTCATGCGTGGTTATTATGGCTACTTGTATTTGGGGAGGAAAAGGGTACGGACAAACAATCACCAGGGATGAGCAGTGCCACAGCTGAACGAGTTACTGTTTTTCAGATGAGCTGTGGTACTCACTTTAGGGTGTTTCTGTGGACCATCAGAAGCACAAATAAAACAGATTGACCTAAGCCACCATGAATCTGATCACTGGTGAGTCTGTCCATGCCCACAGTCATTTATTTCTGTGACCCTTATTTAGTACTGTGAACTATTAATGCACAGAAAATTGATGCAAAATAAGGTTGGGAATCCAAACTAAATGATATTAAGCAGAAGCACCTAAGAGCTAACTATGACATTTTGCTTTAAATAAAGGACGAGCGTGAAATTTTCTACCAGACATGTTACATTTCAAAACTGCATGCACAGTTATTTGAAGCGCGTGTGTGCATATATATATATATATATATGTATGTATATAAAATCCCCCACAAACCTTACTTACTCTTACTGGAGGCCTATAAGGGTCTGACACCTATGGAAAAAGCAGAAATAAAACAATCAGTCCTTCTCAAACTGGCCAATATACAAAAAGGTGGGGAACTTCCTTCCTCTGAACAAGTAAAAGCATTTAGAAAGCAATGTTCCAGAGAAGTCCCCTGTGACACAGGAAACCTAAAAGGCTTAAAGAAGGCTTAAAACTTCTCTTTCATTCCTTGCACCAAACTCAGCAGAATTTTATGATAAACAAAGCAGCTTCATGCCAGCAACTGAACAGTTCAGTGCTTTTCTGAACCTTATAATCGCTCTGAAATGGAGCGCATAAAACTAATCTCCAAGCAATACTTAGGGGAAAGACCTTGAAGGGGTTTCCTGCCCCATTTCCCTCTCACTTTGTTTAAAGAAGTCAATACATCCCTTTGTATTCACGACTGGTGGAGGCTACTGTTGTCTCACCAGAAAAAGAAACTTCTGTCCTGACTGCACGTTCCAAGTCTAGAAGGCCAATTTGCTCACCCGCTGCTCTCTTTTTTTTATGATCAATCACTGTGTTTACTGTAAAACTAGATAAGCTGAAAGGAAGGTTATATACTGTTGCCTACCCCTGGAGTCTTCTGCAGCAGTGTATGGTGGACTGTGCCTGGTCTACCTGCTACATCAATAGGGTTTGACGTCTGAAAGACAAGGACAGAGCGTGAGTAATACTGTATCATACCAGCAGTACATTTACCATCCCTATCTGATGTTAATGGCATTAATTAGTCCATGTTTGTACTGTGCTTTGAACACGCATATTGCTACATTAGCGTAAAATGTTATCTCTTACTCACAGCCAACAGCATTTAACCACCATGACATCTATTATTATTTTGCAGCAGTAAGAGTATTACAGCAGCACCCCTAAGCCCCACCGAAATCACAACCCCATTGTGCTACGCAGTATGCAAGCAGATGGGAAGAGACAGTCCCTGCCCCTCAAGCTTATTCTTTAGACAAAGAACAGGCAGGCAGTAGGAGAGAGAACGAGAGAGGTGGACTGGCTCCCTTCACGTTTGAGGCAGCAACCAGTATCGCAGTTAGGAACAGAACAACTCAAACATCTTAGTCCCATATTGCACCTGTTGGACCATGGCCCCTCTCGAACTGGGGCTCGGTAACACAACGGCTAAAACTGCAACAGCCCATGTATTTGCTTCGACAAGGCAAAATGAGAAACCTTAGAAGGTGCTTGTGGGTCTTTTATAGCTTTGCATTGTTTATCCCATCATTTTCCAGCAAGAATTAAACACCTCACTGAATGAATCCCTGTTCCTCCTCCTCCTCCTCCAGATCCCACCTGTTGCCCTGTCCTAGACGACCCTCAAGAACTCATTCATCTTCTCACTCTGGCATTCATCCATCTCCCACTCCCAGAGCAACTGCACCTGGTGCCTCTGAGCAGCTGAGTGCAGAGGGGTTAAACCTCATTCCCTGAGAGATTATTTCACTCACATTCTAGGTCAAATTACAGTAGATTTCAAACAGTCAAAGTGTACGAGGAATGAGGAAAATCATGGGTATGGGAGGAAAGATAGGTTTTAATTTAATCTAAGGCTACATAACTTCCAGACTCATTAAAAAGAGAATTCTCATTTGTGTGTGTGTAGGTAAGTCAACAAACTCCCCAGGCAGATCTGTGCTCTCAGGGCCTGTCTGACAGCTGAGGTAGATATAAGGTGGCAAATAAGTTACAGCTATCATACAGGCAAGAGCTTTAAGATCACAACATGTTAATAGCATGGTGTCATCCTGTCCCTTTGTCCCCTGGAGAAAGATGTGAATGCTTCCTCCAGCAAAGTAAACTGAATACTTCTGACCTTTTCAAGTTCTTAGCTTGTGAGAAATGGCCTTTGGGAAACTCACTGAGAAGTTTACCGTCAGCCTGGATTTATGTGCAGTGGATTTACATGCACAGCTGTAGGCAACTGACACGGGAAGGGGAAAAACAAAATCAAGACCTCTGCTTTGGAAAGCAAGAAGTGCAGGATTCAGCGTACCAAAACCAAATCATCAGGTCTGTAGTGATTATGAAGGCTTTAGTCAAGCAGCCTGGGAGGGAGAGAGCATGGAAAAACAATGCAGTAATGATGACTACAGTGGCTTTGCTCAGCAGTTCAGCTCTGTCTCCTCTAAGAAACTGGAGAATAATGTGCCAAAGTGGCAGATCCATTTTTCAGCCTATCCATGGTTTGTTTTTTTTTTTTCAGGTTTTAGATTCCACGTAAATACAGCACTGGCCAGAGATCAAGTGACGTTAGTGATTAACCATGGAACCAGAGCGTGACCTTGTGTTGCTTAAACTCAAGCTAGCAAATTTCTATGTATCTATCTTTAAAAAGAATTAAAAGCAGCACTAAGAACTGTTTAAAAATGTAAAGGGTCTGTGTTCACTTCTTCTTTCTTGCTGTGTAACTCCTTCTCTTTGGTCTAATGGTATTTTACAGTGAGATGGTATCTATAAAGCTCTGTAATGAAGATGGAAACCAGAAGAGCATGCTATTGGTATATCAGAAGCTCCTAATCAACAGTAGCCTTATGGCAAAACTGAACCCTATCTTCATACTGGCAAAACTTTGCCAATTCCACCTTATATGTGCAGCTCCTTTCCTTGGGAAGTCAAGTTGACACCCTGACAACTTGGGGTTTGTAGGGATCCCCTGGCATCCCCTATAAGAACAGCAACAATTAACACTGGCAGACAAACTCCATCAGGGGACAGCTATGTTCTGTCCCTCTTGCTCCCTCTGCTTAGATACAACTGCTCCTCTTCTATGCCTGTAGCCACTACATACAGAACTCTCGTTGAAAAAAGACATTTTAGAGACTTTGCAATTTGTAATGTATCCAGAAAATGAAACAACATAAGGGAGTCAATGGGCACTGAGAAAATACTCCAGCTTCCATTACAAAAACTAAGTTAAGTGGGCAGGTTGTAAGAGCCCTTATTTGCAGCAGTTGCTAATTACTGACTTCCACCATCATCAGTGAGACTGCTGAGGGGAGCACACCCCACAGCCCTGTTTGGTATGGTTACAGAAATGACTTTCCAAATGCAAACACAAACAGGCTGGCTACAGTGCTGGTCCTTCAAGTCTTCTAACACAGCAGCAGGGCTCTATGGAAATGCAGTTCAAGATAAGAAATCTCTAAAATCACACAGTACATGAGGAAGCTAAACACATGTGCCCTTACAAATGGAGCAAATGCTCCATTTAGAACAAATGCTATATAGATAAAATGCACCTTTTTTTTTGTTTGGAGGGATTTAGCAGTTTCCGTACATTTAAAAATAGTTAACAAAAAGAACAAGCCCGGGAGAAAAAAAAAAGGCAGTGCATACCACAGAATTCATCAAAAATGGTGGTTATCATGGCAACATTTCCAAATGCCAATCAGTTCTAGCTGTAATGATATGTTACAGATGCAGTGTACCTTTCGAACACACTATATGTCAAAGAAACCTGCAGACATTAATCAACCCTTATAAAACCTGCAAGATAACTTTATAGATGAGGAAGCTGAGGATCTGAAGATTTAAGTGACTTGCCCAAGGTCAGACAGAGCTGGGAATAAAAATTCAGCTCCTTCAAATTGCTCTCCCATTTACAGCAGTCTCTCCCTATTGTTCCCCCACTTGTACAGTCCATTTCTCGTTTTTGTCTGGGAATAAACACAGTTTATCTTTTGCAATCTCAAACCGTTAAATTTATAAAATGATTTGAGACTTGTGGGTCTATTATTAGCTGTAAATATTGCAATCAAATAATGCATTTGACTGTATGCTCCTCCTCCAGTTTCAGTTGACCTCCCAAGTGAACCACTATATCCTTTTCCAAGGAACGATCTGTAGTGCCAAGAGAAAATTTCTGCTGAAGTGTTGGCTGCTTTGTGCAGAGGATTCTCACAGATCTGCAGGGTGATCACTTCCAACCCTGTGCTGCACTCCTAGCTAAATCATGGGCTACGAAATCACCAGAGACACGACTCTGAACACAGTTTCTCTCCCAGCAAAAGAACAAAGCCTTCATAAGAAGAAGTTTGTACCTTCGGTTGAAATGCTCCCTGAAGTGACCCAAAGGGACCTGAATGTGGAAGCATGGGTGGCATTCCAGGCATTGCTGGAGGATAGGTTGGAAAGAACTACAAAAGAAAAAGAGATGCTTATGTCACAGGACAACTTGAACAATAATGGAGGTAGGTGCCAAGCCTGGCAAATACAAAAATAGTACTGTGTTGAGTGCCACAGTGAAAGTATACACTAAATTTGCTTTCAAAATTTTTAAGAGCAAAGCCAAAACTTGGAAAATGCGCTCATCTGATGAATTTTCTAGATAGTGCTGAACAAGTGTGCCTTCAAAATTTGTGGACTATTGCAGGAAGCACAGAGCATTCACCATTTTTAAAGGAACTGGAATAATCTGGGGTTTATGTTAACTTTTGGTTAACTTTGCATTTTTCTGCAGTAGCAGACAAATTGATCCTGTTTTGAAACGTGACCTGCTTTAATTTTCGAAGCAAAAAAGAACCACAAGATGCTGCATTGCAATGCTAACCACAGGCAACATGCACACCACCTTGTAGTTGCGTAGGCTGGGTTAAATTTTGCTTAGGCCTCTCCTGAGCACATACAGCAGTTTTACAAGTCCCAAAACATGTAGTTTTTGTGCTTTGGAGCAGTGGGGAGCACCAGGAAGAAACCACCAGTCTGACTTACTCCTGTGACCTGAGCAAAATCTTGTGAAAGAGCCATGCACTCCGGGCTGCTGCACTGTGAGAAGCACCAGCTGCAAAGATACTGCAATGACCACTGATTTAGCCATTTCTGCGCATTCCCTGCCATCCCAGGCACAGCAATATAGAGCCACAGAGCAAATATGCAGTAGATAAAGATTTAAAAAAAAAAAGCCCAAATAAAATTTTGTACCTTAAAAAAAAAAAAATCAAGATGGAAAAAGAGCTTTAGGAATGAATGAATCAAAACACTACCCATCAATCAAAAACAAGCAAAAGAAGTGCAAGCAGAACCATTAACAAAGACAGCACCTAGAAAGGTAAGCACTCACGTTGGAATGTCGAAAGTAAGGGTTGTCTAATTTGGGAGCGTACTTGTCAAACTGGAAAGAAAAGAGAAAAAAAGGACATGTGTGAGTTCAGTTTCGGCAGTAGCGGACACATCAGGATTTCAACACAGACAAACAACCGTGGCCCGTTTGTACAGCATTTAACAGAGCAGAACTGACTGGTTATTCCACACTGGCCCATCAGGGAGCTGACTGATTTCCCAAAGCTAATGGAGACGGAAAGGCGTTAGCCCCCGGGTTGTGCCGGGTGCTGCTGAGTCTCACTGCAGAACCCCGGCTGCAGGCACTACATGAAGAGGTTCCTTCACTGTGAAGCGAGCAGTCCTGATTATCTGCAGCACAGCGAAACACAGGGAAGTTCAGCTCCAGGTCTAGATCTGGGATCTGCCCCTGGAGCAGTGAACTAGATCACAGACTAGAAGGTAGGGAACATTTTCCATCAGACCCCACCATCTACTATGGTGGCCCAGTACTAGTTCCCCATTTTCTGGGTTCCTGTATGTGACAAAATTGCTTGGAAAAGGGCTCAATTGCTTTAGATGCACAAGTCTCTATACATTCCCCCACCCCTGCAAAAAAAGAGTGCCCAGAGAAAAGGTGATTGTTAACCTTTTCCATTCCAGCATGGGGTTTTAACATCCCCATGTGTGCAGTCTGTGCCCTGTATTTATTTTTATGCCATTTGTCCTGTACCACCTTGGAAGCAAAACCAAAGCATATATACATTGCATTTTTGAACAGTATGTACATTCTGCTGGGGAGGAGGGAGCAGGGAAGAAGGCAGGGAAGGGAGCTGTAGGACCCCACGAAAAGCTGCTTATTTGGCAAGTCAGCTGCTGTTTCACACTCCTCTGTGCAGTAGAGTAGATTTGTAATTTCATTAATTACAGTTATTACTGGAGCCATGTCCCCTCCAGTGTAAATACCATAAATTACCAAACACATGCAGCTGTAAATTTCAACACTCTTCTCTGGTGTTGGGATTAGCAGACCTGATCTAGTGGAATATAAGAAGATGTGAGTGAAATATAACAAAAAGAGCCTTGCAAGCTGTTTTTGCTATGAAGGCTGACATCAACGGGCACGGGTGGGAAGGAGCTGTTTGCAGGATCGGATATCAAGATTCTTAAATAACACAGGAGGTTTCTGAGAAAAGTTTCAAGGTTTTTTTACAGAGATCAAGAAAATAAGGGAAGGTGTTTACACACGAGTACATTGAGCAAACACCTGGGGCTGGATTTTAGGTGGATGGTATTACTTTTGTCTTGCTGCTAAGCAGATCACAACCCCAGAAAGTCATTGGGCAGTTAACAACAAGAAAAAAAAGTGAGAAACATTATGCTCTTTGAGTTCTTGGTAGTTCTTCCCAAATGCTACTTTTGCTGTTACTCCTGGCTTTGGCTAGCAGAAAGTTGTTTCTACATTCTGGACACAGCGTGAAACTGAGAGGGGGAAAATGATGAATCTTGTTCTTTCAAATCTCACAAAGTAACTGCCAGAAATGAGGAGACAGTGCATCTTGAAGTACTGACAAAACCCATTTGTAGCCGATCTTAACAATTTTATAACAGCTGCAGCAAAGTCCCATTGTGTTACAAGCAAATTCAATGGCAAAAAAGCTAACGCTTATTACATGGCCAGGAGGATCTCTCCCACAAGAACCAGCCATACACAAATTAGTGCTCGTCGATGTAATCAAATAATAAATGCCAACATCAATACAGATTAGGGAATTAGGAGGAAGAGGGACAAAACTTGTATCAGATGAGACGCTGCACTATGGCAAGAGCTCTGGGTAAGCAAGTACCATCTGCCCAGCTATGAACGGTTGTGTGGACTGCATTTGTACCGGAGGCCACCCATCTTGTGGCATCCTTGTTGGTGTGTTTTGGTGTGTCAGCACGTGGCTCTGGGAAAAAGGGAATAAAAATATACAGCAGGACACACAAAAAGGGAAACTAAAGGGAGTCTGGACTCGTCTCATGGGTGCGGTATCTGCTCAGGGGTAGCAGCGTGGGGGACTTGGAGGCTTGGTGTGGAGGCTCTGGATGGAAAGGGGGTCCCTTCCGAGTGCTGGGCCTGTGTCTCCAGGCCTCCTGGTCGGAAGGGCAGGGACAGCACACCTGGCTGAAATGAAGAGGACTGGGTTTTGTTTGACAAGAGTGGGTTAGGCTTTTTGACCAGAGATGCTCTACTTATCCTCACATTTTGGGCTGGGGTACGCACCATGGGAGGTGCAGAGGGCGGCATGAGCGGCGTCTGGGGCAAGCTGGATGGAAAAGGAGTGAATGTGTGCTGGTGGGTGTGTTGGTGCTGATGCGTGTGTTGGTGCTGGTGAAACTCCGCTCTCAGCAGCGGCACCGGGCCAAGTGAGGCAGCGGCCCGGTCCGAACTCTGAACCAAAAACCGGTTGTTCAGCTCTTGCCTGAGCAGTTCGTGATCTAGAGGAGAGAGAGAGAGAAAAAAAAAAGACACAGAGGCCCGTGGGCCTGTGAGTACCACAAAGACGGAGGAGAAAGAGTCAATATTCACCTGGCATTCCCTGTTTCTGCAGGTCATGCTGTGGTGGTTTTCTACGTGAGGACTCATTGGTGGAGGTAAGAGAGATGCCTGTGACAAAGTACCAATCAGAATCCCCGAATGAGGCTGGCAATACATGATTGGTTGGTTGAATGATATCAACAGGCTGGTATCTAAAGACAAGAGAGAACACCATGAGTCATCACAGCAGAAAACATCATCGGGGGCGTCAGCAAGCATCCGCCCCCGGCCCCCCGCCCGCGGCCCCGCTACCCCCGCGCAGCTCCGACGGGTTACTCCTCCTCCCTGGCACCTGACGGCCATAGCACTGAGGTGGCTCCAGGAATGGACCTCAGAGGCCTGGTCTCGCAGCACGGTGGCTGGACCTTCCCACACCAGCAAGATGCTGGGGAGCACCCTCGAGAACAACGGCTCGCTTTAAAATGAGTAATACTGACCTGTTTCCTCTGGAGGTTTGAAATTCAGAAGCATACACGTACACTGAAAATGGATGGTGGGCCTAACGTGTGTTAAACTAACATGTACGTACTTAAGAGGTAAAATTTCAACAAGATCTACAACCATGGATTTGGGTGGCTGGAAAACTACCTGCTCAAATGGCCATTACTCAACTGATCCCTGTGCCATCCTCCCCCTTCTCAGCCCCAGGACATGCACACAGTGACCAGGATCATCTGTCCTACAAATCGAGGCCTTCTTTGCAATATGTTTTTTTGCGAGATCTTAAATACTAATCAGTCCTTTCCTCTATTTCTAACAGGCTCTAATTGTAATTTTTTGTCCTTGCCTCCAGGCTTTTCTCCTACGAGAAAATACGGAGGAGGAATCAGTGGGAAGAGGAGAAACATTGAACTGGCTCAAGAGCTCATGAAGGTGGCCACAACTGCAGAAACAAAATGTTCCACCCTATGACACGTGGCCTTTTCTCAGCATCTTCCTCTGCAAGAACAACTTGCACTGAATTTTAATGTGGTTTAGGGTGGTGGAAGATACAAGCGCTTTAGAAATTATATGACTGAAGACAGTAAGGACAAATGTCCACCTCCCCAAAATGTCTGCTGGTATCAATTAAACCCATCTGTGGTTTTTCTAAGAACTTCAAACAGGAATCAGCATCAAACATGTTATATATTTTCTAAGCTGAGAACAACCTGTGTCACCAGCTGTGGATGACATACACCCAGTCCTGACCTAGTTGCTTCTGAATTCATATGAATCCACTTCTTTCAGCGTTAACACCCCTTTTAAACTACAGCACTGAATATAAAGGGGTGAAAGAATGCATGTGCTTTGAAGTTTTATTTCATGTTCTGCAGGCATGTCTTTGACTTAAATTTTCTAGAGTAACATTAGAAATGCCTAAATCAATCACTTTCTGAAATGACATGGTTAAGATCTTTAAAAACAGGCACTCTGATGGGGAACTTCCAAGGTCTCTACTACCACTTAGAAGCCTACATCCTATTGAAAGTCACTTTTGAAAGCAAATGTTGGGTGCCTAAGTCATTTGCTTTTCAGTAATAAATGTACTGCTAAGAGCAAGTACTGTGTACCGCTACAAACTTTCTAACAATTAATACAAAGGAGAAAGTACATATACTTGTGATACTGAAGCCTAAAGCACTGGAGCAAAAGAGCCTATAACGGGTTCTCCTTGGAGCAAGCAAACAAGAAAAAAAAACTAGGCTGAAAGCACTTAGGTCCAAAACCTAACCTCTTTAGAGAGTATGATTTCATACGTGTGTGTTTATGCATTTAAATCTGGCATGACTTAAAGAAACCGAATCCTTCTGTTAGCATCAAGATAATCCACTTTTCTGGAGGGAGAGATAACAGCGAGTTGGCAGTTTTAAGTGCTTTGATATCCAATTTCTTTAAGAGACTTGAAGTCAGACTGAGATTTGCAGCTGGCTCCAGCCTGTAGCCCTGTACCACAACTTTGGCCTTTGTCAGGAAAAGAAAGGCCCAGAGATGTCTGGAGGAGTGGTGTGGCACTTGGGAGGAGTGGCTGCTTCATAGTTTTGATGGGACTGCTGAGTGACAGGGCTCTGTGACAGGGCTCTGAGCAATGTTAGGATCAGAACTAAGTTCTTGTGCCTGCCAGTTGACGCCTTGTCCCATGGGTCTGGGACACCACAACTAGGAGCAGAGTAACTGAGAAGTCCTCTGAATGCTCAAACACTACTGCTCGGTGTGCACATGTGAGGTGGGCATGGCAGAAAAGAGCTCAATCCTGCTCACGTTGCTAGGTACCCTCACGTTCAGAAAAGAGGACACAAAGGCTGCTGTTTCCTCAGTGTATCCTACAGCAGGGCCAGCCTTGGTGCCCTTGACTAGAGGGCAGCAGCCCACGCAAGGGTTGCTCCTAGGTTACTTGCACAGCAAGGACTACGCTGCTAGCAGCAGTTGGATCCCAGCTCTTTAGGGCTGCTCAGCAATAATGTTTGCTTTTAAGAAACTTTTCTGTGAATGACAACAGAAGCTCCTGGCTCTGCAGCGCTCTGTATTGATTTTATGATGTGCCACTTTGCAGGCAATTCATATAATGCAGACAAGAGGCATTTCACTGTCTGCAGGGTTAGACACCCAGACCTTTCCCTTCACTAACTTTGGCTTCTCCTGCTTAAACGGCAGGAGAAATCCTTTTAGTAGGAGCAAGACTGTTACTGTTTCCTGGCAAGCTGCTGAATGTGAATAGGTCACTTGATCTTGCACCTCCTGAAGTTAATGGTGAGAACATACTTGCTTTTAGTGACTGCAATACCATGCTTTTAGTGAGTGCATTGCTATTTCCTTTTGCAATACTTTCAAAGTCTCCATCACAGTAGTCCTTTGCCTTAAACAGGGGAGGCAATGAATAGGTCTCCCACAGTGCTGCCAACATCTCCCCAGCCATGTGGCTGAAATTCTAGATGGTGCCAGGGCCTGTGAAAGCCGGCAGCTTTGGCCTATGTGGTCCTGCCTCTGGCCAGGAACCCATGGCACTTTTGTCTATCATCGTTCTGAGAGTTCACTTTGGGACAATTGACATTTTAATTTCATTTAAAGAAGCAGTTATAAATAACGGGATGTTTTTTAGCTCCTGGAAGAAACAGGATGCAAGGCCATCAGATTTTTCTGCAGCAAATCTGCCCTCTCCTTATTCCTTTAACTGGCTTCATAGGAAACAGAGGGCAATTTTTGCAAAATGTTTGTCCCGTTTAATCCCTGCTAAGTTAGTTGTGGAGTCAAATGCCAGATCAAAAGGAGGCCCCAGCAAGTGAAAGCTGCAGGGAAGTCTCCATCTGCCAGGGTCTTTTCCAGGGACAGCTGTAGGCTAATGGACAATCTATAAACTGGGCATTTAGGGCAGAAGTGGCAATAGAATGGGGGCCAGGGTGAACTTTTAAAAAGGACAAAACGATAGTGAGAGCTGAACCGTAGAGCTTGTCAGCTGAGCGGTCTTTGCCTCAGACAGAAAGGCCAAGGAGCCATGGGCACACAGAAAGCTTGTGCTGCTGCAGGCAGAGGATCCTGCTCTGCTGGCAGGATGTGCTGCTTTGTCAAAGGATCAGAGCAGGGGATAGGTGTTCAGTCAGAATAACTTTCTGGGATGATTAGGAACAGTTTTTTCAAGTCAGTTCTAACAGCAGCAATTTTCATTAGAGAAGGGAGAAAGAAAGGGAGAATAGCAAACAGTACATCACTCCTTTGTTAACCTAAAATATGTCTGATGACTGTGTAATGCCACACTGGACAACTCATGTCCTGAAAAGGTGATTTTTTTTGGAAAGAATTGGTTCTAAGACTTCTTCTAGGAAGCTGCAGTGCTGTCTCTACAATCTCTCATCTGGTAAAGCATGTCCAAGTCTCCTACCTGCTTCACAAGCACTCTCACAGTTCCAGCACACACTGCCTGCGGTGGGGTCTGCGTCACTTTGTTTTACCTGCCCACCAGCCAGCCCATCTTTCAACACCCTCCAGTGCATGCACAGCAGATCAGCCCTGGAAGAAGAAGGGAACCTACCCGCAGGGTGACCTGGTATCACGAGGCTGTTGGTAGGTAACGCTGGTGGAGGTGGCAGCGTGGGTGGGGTGGCAAACATGGCCGGATGGTGCTGGTGTTGGGTCTGCGATCTGAGAGAGAAGTGCGAGGTAGCAAGATTAGAGATGGAGAGGGGCAGAGCTGGGCCGGAGGAATGGTGTGGAGGAATCTGGGGAGAGAGGGGAAGGTGTTTTGGGAGGCTGATGCTTGTTGCACTGCTAGCACTGCTGCTCCGGCTGCAGAGAGAAAAAGATGGGGGGAAGCAGAGGGGGGGGAGAGAGAGAGAGAGAGAGAGAGAGAAAGAGAGAGAGTGTGTTACAATACAAGACAAACAGTGCAAGAAATACACCACCAGAAACAACACAACTACTTAACACTGGTCTCCCCAAGCTTATGATTTTGTTTTTCAAAATGGCAGTGGAGACAGTAAAGAATCTTAATGAACTTCTCCAACAAGGCAGGACGGGGCTTGGGCTCTCTTGAGTGGCATTTCCTCTGGTGCTTGAGCAAGTTACAATCCTCAGAGCTATCTATGAGATATTGACGAAGGCCATAGAGGCAGCTGGATTTTGCACCTTTTATTTAGCCTCTGACGACCTTGCAGTGGGCATGTGCGTCCTTGGGATCCTACGACGCAATTACTCTAATTTCTTTTTCTGTTGTGCTAGGTGCACAGAATTGCATAGTCTGAGTGACTTTGGGACCAAGTTGTATCTGCTGTGCATGCTGTGTAGTTAATATTCACACAAGCATGCAAACACACACCATGTTAATAAATTTTCCTCATAATAATTCTGTATTTCACATCTTCTTCTATTATTATTACTCCACTGCAAGTGATCTAAGTTTTGTGGGATGAAAGGCACTATTGCTGCAGTTATTATTTAGTGTAATTCCCACTGTATCAATTATTTGTTGCAATCTAAACCTCTATCTTGAATAGTTTGAAATATTTTAATACATTTATACTGTGGTGGCATTTACAGTGCAAACCCACAAGAGAGTTTAAGTATGCAGCATACTATGAAATACACATTAATGGCAGCTCTCTCTATTCATAGTTTGACCCTTGTGCAGCCAAATATTATGTTTTAAATAAGTTTTCTCATCTTGTTTAAACTAGCCTAGTTCTGCTTTGGGAGGAAAGGTATGCTTTCGGCACCAGCAAAAAGACTACAGAGGTTCCAGCTGAGTAGCTAAACTCTTTTCTCTAGAAACGTTTTATCCATACCAATTTCACCCATCTTACTGACTGGATGGAGTCAATTTAAACAGTTAAGCTAAGCCTCCCGCTATCCTGCTAGATCTCAACATGTCAGACTGAAGCAGATTTCTCAGCCTACATGGGAGCCCTGTTCTAAGGGACACAGCTCTTTCCAATATAGATATCCCTCTTTGATGATGGTGAACCAAAAGAACTGTGATAACCATGAACAAACCTACTTCAATGGAATTCTTTCTGAATATGAAACAAGGGAGTTGCTCAAACTTAAACCACCTTGAATTTCTAAGGCAAGAACTAGCCAGCTCAGACAAGACAATGCAAAACTCTACTAGAAAGTAGACCTAAAGGAACTTTACCCCACATGTGCCTTTCTCCCAGAAAGCGAACATTTATCACCATGTTTCAAATGAAGTTATCCACCACTTCTGGAAAATCCAATATGCAAAACATGGAACATCTTACACAGACAGTAGGAGTGCTTGTCTCACCTCCCAGCAATTTCTATCCCATCTGAAACAAGCTTTAATCCAGCAGAAGCATAAACATGACATGTGTATCCCTTTCCCCTACCTGATATTATTGAGTCCGTTGTGGGCCACCTGGTGATGCACTTGGTAATTGAGAGGTGGAGGGATGTGACTCGGAGGCTGGGTCCGAAGCTCAGGTATTAACTGAGGCTGCGACTGCGGCCGAGGTTGAGGTTGTGACTGTGGCCGAGGCTGTGGCTGAGGCGTGAGCCTTGGTGGTGCTGGTGCTGAAATCACTGGCTCCTTCTTCAACAGTGGGCTTGCTCTGGCGCTTGACGTGGGCGCTGAAGAAGTAGAAGTCACAACGGCAGCTACTGGCTGGGGGCTGGGGATAGGCAGGGCGAAGGGCACGTCGGTGCTCAGTTCCCGGCTCCGCTCTAGCCCAGACACCTTTGGGACATTGGCTGCTTTTGCTTCTGGCTTGTCATTCAAGGTGGGACCTTATGGAGCAACAAGAAAAAGAACAAAGTGCATGCTGAAAGGTCTGTGTTTGTTTCTCTGCTTGGTAGAACATATGCCTGAGAAAAAAGAAGTCATGTTTCAGCTCGTGGGAGCATCGTGGGAGCACTGCTGCTACAAGATGGATGCGTGTTTGTGTGTCTGTCCTTCCGCTGTCCTTGACTGGCCAGTCTAGTACTTGTTAGCATGTGCGTAAGAGACTTAGCTGTCATTAAATGACCATGTACTACGAAGAACATACTTCTACAGAGTCCCAAGGTTACGTAGAGTAGGAGTGTGAACGTGTCTCAAGTTACTGCTACAGTATTTCCTGCTCAATGTAAGTTTTAAGGCTGATGATGAACTCATGAACACAAGCCTGATCATTAAGACACTTGATTTTCTCAACAGTCTTTCAAGGTCATCTACACTATGTTCAGGATCAACTCCAACTCCAATGCACTGTGCCCCAAGCACCAACCATTAATGATAGCCCCCACCTGGCTTCTAGGGAGAAGGCTACTTGGGATCTTTGTGTAGCAAAAGATGGGATAGTTCTGCAGTGAAGCTGTGACACTGCCATTCCCTGGCTACACACTTGTGTGGAAGAACAGAACAGAGAAGACTGGAAAAATCCAGTCAGAAGCGCAGTGAGCACCCAAGTGTAGTCCTTCTCACCCTAAGTATTGCACACTCCTGTATGCACAGCACTATCAGGAATGCTGCCACCTTGCAAAATGCATTTACAGTGAGAATTCCATATGGAATTACTCCTTCTATGATGACAACTATTTCCTTTTTACCTAAATTAAACTAAACAAAGCAGCCCAAAGGGTTAAAAGGCTGGAAAGGAAAAAAGGGAAAAGGGAGGAGAGGAAAAATATTTCAGATCAAGCAGTATCCAAAAGCTCAAAGACAACCAAAAAGACCAACATGAATGTGATTCAACTCCCACTCTAACTCCCTTTTTGACATACTCTGTGTATCCTTGAGTGCACATATACCCACAATCACAAGAAAAGCTGTTTGTGGGCTACCAGAACTAGTGTTGTCCATGTGCTTCCCCCCCCCATGCACACACAGCATTTTTGACTTTTAGGATACATGCTTTTATTATCCACCAGAACGTGCTAGGGGCTGTCTGTGTTTAGTTGGCTTGCAGACATGCAAGAGATGCTACCTACACTCATTAACATGCTCCCCACAACCTCATGAACAAATTCCACCTTTGAAATTTTCCCATCTCATCAAAGAACTGAGCCAGTTCCTGATGTAGGAGGTGTGGAAATAACACACAACACAGACTGCGAGCTAATTCTGGCCACGCAGACGATCTAACCAGGCATTTGCCAACGCAGCGAGGCCAGAGTCCTCACTGCTGCTGCTTCAACGACTTGAGCACCACCACGCCGGCATTAGATGAGAGGAGGACAGCGATGAATCAGAGCCTGTAGCACACCAGCTCACTTTCCTTACAGAAAAAGCCCACACGGTGATGGCATCTCCTTCCTTGAGACAAAAGGCAGTTTCCCACATGGCTTCTGGCTCTGCTTGCACTCTCACCATTGCACCATTTCCTTCATCAGTCAGTCAATCAATCAATCAATCACTACATATGTATAATTTCAGAATGTGAAAAGAGAATGAATTGAAACATATGAACTATGTTTATCAGTTGAAGATGTCTCAAGACTTCTGGCCTCAAACCCACAAATAACAGCAAAAGAAGCCTTTACAAACACCAGTGCTCTGGCTGGCAGCAAGTGCGATCAACCCTGTATTTCCCAGAACCTTATACTTTTTCACAGGTTTGACACAATGTCTGGAGGTTCTAAATTATTCCCTACAAGTTATAAGGCTAACTCTTGTTTCAGTGAATTTGTTTTTCCAATATGAGTTCATGTATCACAGACGCCCTGGTTTTGAAATCTAACTAGACTTGGTTCCAATGTTATTTAGTGTGGCAAAGAATGTATTTCTAAAATCAAATTCTCATCACTCTTGTGCACCATCATTTTTTTATAATGCCACCTACGTTTGTAAATTTTCCTCAGATTTCATTACTAACAATCGAAAAATTGTCATTGACTAGTCAAGCCAGGGGTCCCCACACTGTGCGTTTTGGAAGAAGTGTATTAACAGCTGTAGGTCCCACTGTTTTTCAGGAGCTACCCATTAAAAACAACTGGGTTTCATTCCTGACCATAGGTTTCCTGAGAGCCTATTAGCCCTTTCCATCCAACAAGCCTCCTACAGATTTAAACTTCATATTGTGTAATTATAGCCAACACAGACTAATGGTGTATATTCAAAACACACTGGCACCACAAAAGTTAGTTGAGTAAAAAGTCAATTAGATCCAAAACAAATCAATAAAGTCCCACATTAAAAGCAGCTGTTTGACCAGTTTTATGTACAACTATTGATTCCCTGTGGTGTCAGCATTAGTTCTCATTTGCAATTTTCCCAAAGCAAAAGCTCATGCTCCTTTGCTGACTGAACTGACCAGCCAACCTGGTTGTAGTTGTTAGCACTAGGGGTACACGACTAATTTCTGCTGCCAACTTGCATCTCTCAGGTTGCAATACTGAAATGTTTTTGTGTTTCTTCTTGACAACAATGAAAATACCCAGATGCTCCTCTGGAAAAGCTACAGGCATGAGTGTGAGTATCTTCTCTGCTTCTGTAGCCACATTAGCTAAAGCAGAAACACTGAGAAGGGCAAGATAATGGTGTGAATTCATGGGTGAGCGTGGAGAAGCATGTGAGAGACAGGAGAATCCCTAATCTTTCTCAGCCACCACACAGGAAGGATGGTGGATGAATTCTGTTTCCCCTTCTGATGGCTGAGATGCAGAACAAGAGAGAAGCTGATTCACGTGGTTGACATGAGGGTGGAACTGCAATGGGTGAAGGGAAGGGAACCACACGTGAACAACAGCAGGACAAACCACGGAGAGAAATGACGGGAAGACAGCGATGCCAGGCATTGGGACATGCCTGATGTTTGAAAGTCAAACCCTCTGAAAAGGAAACTTTTCTCCCATCTAGGTCTAGTTTCACTTAAGTCTCTGGTAAAACAGATTTGGACAAAATGGAAAGCAGATGCCCAAATGGAAATACATCTCATCTGTACGTCTCACTACTCTAGAAAACCCAAAAGGCACTTCTAAGCAAAGACTTAAGACCCTTCACTTCAGCTAACTCCATGGAGTGCTGTCTCATGACTTACACTCTGACATTGAAGAACATACACATGTCCTGGTTTCTTTCTTTCCTTTCACATGCTTCTACCAATTTAGTTCTACCTGTTCAGCGACTGTTTCCAACACCCAGTCACTAGCTAACCATACTCCAGAGGTCTCCAGAAACCTGACAATTTCAAGGGCATTTTCCCTGTGCAACCAAAGAAAAAACGACTTCCAAAGGCTATAATTACCTGGTTTCTTAGTTTCTCAACGAGATCCTTATCATGATACCTATCACTAAATTCTCCAATTTGAGACTTTCCTCTCCACTGACATGAAAGTATTTGAAATCCCTCAGAAAGTTAGTTTTAATGATTTTAATGAGAGATGTTACCTACTCTGATCAGGATCTCAAACTCTGCAATTTCTCTGTAGGATGCTCAAATATCCCTCCTAAGCCAACTACACTCTTGTATGCCCAAGTTCCTTCCAACTGACCATGCTATTCACATAAGGAAATATCCCAAGGAAAGAAACCAAATATTCCCTTGTGCAAGCTGGATCAGGTTTCATTGAGATCCTTTCAGAAACTCTGTACTTTGGCTCCTCATCTAGCCCTTCTGAGCAGATGGACCCACGGAGCTGAGCACAACTGCCCTGACAAAAGCACAGACCCACCAGACCACACCACACCACAACGTTCTAGAGGCAAAAATCTGTTTATTTTTACCAAGTCCTAGAGTAATTTTCATGCTTAATGATAACAGGCTGAGCCAATTTGCCTAAGACTTGACAGTCAGCTCCAATAATTCAACCTTAATTAAACTCGAACGCATGTCAGTTCAGCTCGTCCCTTCACAGGAAAACTGACATTTGCAATGATTCATGTTTCAGCCATGTTACGGGAAGGCTGGATCACATCTGCCATTCTCCACCACGCAGAGCGCTACCCCTTTTCAGCATGCCAACTTTGTTTATTTTCTAACCAAACACTTTGGACTTCTTCCATTGAGAGGTTTTCTTAAATGAACAGACAGCGAATCATGTCTTGATCTCACAGGGATAAATGATGACCGAGTGTGAGAGACAGGGAAGAAAGGGCCGAAACTGCTCTAACAAGAAAAATAGTAACAACCTGGGATTAGTAATTCTTGCCTCCTTGATCAACTAATCTGTCATATGGAGCGTTGCAAAATTTTAACCTCCCTTTATCTTGGGATATGTGCCATTCTGATTTAACCCAGTAAAGATGAAAACTTCTCACAGCTTTTAAAAGCACAGAAAGCTTTAGCTATTGCTGCCGTAAATCTGTAGAAAGAAAAGTTGAGGTTCAAGGAAAACCCCACAGCCAACTACAGCTGTATTTGCTACAAAATGGATTTCAGAAGGAGTTACCTGAACCTGAAAGACCATCAGCATGGATCTAGTATGAAACTTCAGTGAATTAAAAATGTGTGATGGAATAAACACCCACTGCCCATTCCCCTTGGCTGTACAGGGCGACATGCTTGCCAGTGTGTAACTACACAGCATTGCAGGCTAAATACAATACAGAAAGTCCCAGACACAAATTAAACCTTTCTGTTACAGGAATTTGCTTTCAAGCTGATTAAGAGTAGCTCAAGTGCAAGGGATTAAACATGTAAAGGCTGCTTTGAGAACTCCAGTAAGCAGTTACTGTGTTATACAAACAGCACTTAGGGCAACAGCAGTTCCAGCCCTGCCTCTTGCTCTTTGCAAGCTGCTGGTTGCCGCTGAAAGGGGACTGTCAACACAAGTACAATGTGATTGGAAATAATCTAATCTTGCTTGCA